CAAATAAGTTGGCAAATTCAATGTAACTTCACTGGTTACAAATGTTGTATTTGTGGCATGAAACAAATGGGCATTTTAAACAAGTCAGGTCACAAAAGATCAGCCATAGCATGGAAAGGGATTCAATAAATATTCTGAATAAAAAAGCCAGGTCTCTTGAAGATAAACATCAGGATAATGCACTGGAAACAAAATGGCAGTAAACTTGTGCCAGAAGAGCAATTTGAAGATTAAGGTCTAAATTTTCAAAGTGCAGGTTATGATAAATTATTCATAAAGCAGCATTTCTCTTTGGCCCTACAACTCAAGAGTTTGATGCTATTCTCTACTGCAGTTCATCAGGTTGTCAATCAGTGAAGATGCTGATGTTGATTTTCAATCAATAATTACAGCTAGAAGCATCCCCCAAAATAGAGAAAAGCACAGCATGAGGGATCATGGAGCACAGGATCTACTACTCTGTGCTAATCTCCACCACCCCTTCCTTGCACCGAGACTTACATAGTTCTCTGCCCTGGTTTAAATGGCCCCAAATTTCCCGTTAAAGCACAAAATAATTAGCAGGCTTGGAGCTTCTTGCATAGGTACTTGGATTTTTCAGGTTGTGATAGGCAACTCTGCAAACTAACAAATCGATTCTGGGTATAATTTCCGAACTTCTTCTTGGGCGCAAACTTGGGTTCAAAACTGTTCGGTTCTCTCCAGCGAATCATAAGAGGATGGCAAAGACATTGTTCACATGCAATGAAACAAGCTATTTTCCAAAGCACCTGGAGGCAGGACAAGAAGCAACGGGTGGAAACTAATCAAGGAGAGAAGCAATCTAGAACTAAGGAGAAACTTCCTGACAGTGAGAACAATTAACCAGTGGAATAACTTGCCTCCAGAAGCGGTGAATGCTCCATCACTGGAAGTTTTTAAGAAGAGACAGGACAGCCATTTGTCTGAAATGGTATAGGGTTTCCTGCCTGAGCAGGGGGTTGGACTAGATGACCTTCAAGGTCCCTTCCAACTTTACTATTATTAATATTAATATTATTATTATTATTATTATTATTATTATTATTATTATTATTATTATTATTATTATTATTATTATTATTATTATTATTATTATTATTATTATTATTATTATTATCGTAGAAATACACACCAGATCGATTGCATTTTCAGCTATCAGAGTAATATCATCAGCATAGCAGAGGTTATTGGGGGGGGGGGGTTGGCCAACCTTAAAACTCTGCTTTCTTCAATATATAGTCCACATATAGCTTGCATAAATAAACAGAGAGTAAACAACCTTGTCTCACTCGTTTGCCAACCCAGAACCGCTCTGGTTCACTGTGTTCTGCCAGATTACGGCTTCCTGATCCGTGTATATTTTTGCATGAGGGCAATGAGATATCTTGGGATTCCTCTTTTCCTAAGCACAGCTTGACATGATTGGCATAATCAAAGGCCTCTCTGTAATCAATGAAGCACATACTGATGATTTTTTTTGCCTTCTTTGGCTTCCTCAATTATTTGGTGGGCATCAAAAATAATGTATCATGTTACTTGTCTTTGTCTAAAGCCAAACTTTTTGGCATCTCCTTTTCTATGTGAGGCTCTAATCTGTGTTGGATGTTCCTCAGTATTATTTTAATAGCAAGTGAAATTAAGGATATTTTACAATAGTTTGCACAACTGTTGCACAACTGTTAAGTCTTCTTTCTTTGCTATTGGTACAGTATTATCAGATGTAAACAACCCGACCCACACATGCAGAGTTCAAGCTACCTACTATAATACAGGAATCTCCCCAGTCTGGCAGCCTATTCCTGGGAACAATTAGATAGATTGAAAGGAACCTGGGATGGTGTCAGACCTAGCCTTTTTTGTGGTTGTGCAGTGACTCCGGGCTAGCCTGCGCTTGATCCGCCTTTCCTCCCAGATTGGTTGCTTCCCAACAAGTATGTATACTGACTTCTTCCAATCTGTCAGTCACTGTTTTGTTTTTCTGATTTGCTGACATAGTTGGTTAAAAAAAATGCAGATTCTTTTTTGGTTGCTTTCTGCAGATATTCCATAAATATCTGTAGCCTTCCATCTTGGTAATGATGAAAGTGCTGACCTAACTTCACTTTGTAATACTAGAGGTTCTTGTCAGGAATATCTTGTCAGGAATATTATGTTTGATGTTAATGTCTCTACTATACAGAATTTCATTATTATCCTTTCATCTATGTTCTTAGAATCAATCACTACCTATCCATTAACATCCTCTAGAATACCAATTCAAGGTTAGAACTTCCTTCTGAATTTTTGGGGGAAGAATTTTCTTATTCTTATTTTCCTGTGTTTATTTCTGTATTCAGTATTTACTAATATTGCTATCATACTGCTACTTGTTTCAATGCTCTGAAATTCTCTGTTAACTTCCTTCCTGAGATCTTTGTCATTCTTGGCTCTGTTCTATTTTCTATTTTCATGGCTTGTTCTGACATCCAGTTTGTCATTTTTTTTCTTGATTTTTGTCAGTCTCCTTTCTCATTCATCCATAACAATATCCTTAAGTTCATTCCACAGTTCCACAGGCTGTGTGTCAATAAAGTTCAGGATTTCAAAGCAATATCTGATGTTTTCCCTGGAAATGTGGATGCGTGTTCAAGATCACATCATGGAAACTGGTTGACCTTCTTTTTCTTTAGCTTAATTTAGAATTTGCACATAAAAAAACCAATTCATTATCTCTTTTACAGTCAGCCTTGTCACATTTTTACTGTTATAAATGAGTTCTTTCACCTCCTATCAATAATGTAGCCAGTTTGACTTCTGTGTACTATTATTCATATACAGCATATAGTATTCATTTTGGTTGTTGGAAAACCGTGCTGGCAATGAAAAAAAATCATTAGATTGGCAGAAACTGTTGTTCTGCTTCATTTCCATTTTCTAGATAATACAGTCAAACTGCATTTTCTTTCTTAATGTTTCCAACTTTGGCATTCCAATCGCCAATCACAAGCATCACATTTTGCTTCCATTTTCTGCTGATTTCAAATTGAACTTGATCATAAAACTTGTAAGTCTCCTTTTCATTTGCATCAGTAGTTGAAGCATACATTTGTCCACGAAGTCTAATATTATTTGATCACTGATTGCTATGAAGCCAAGTACTCACTGTACTCTTTTTAACTATAAAAGCAACACTGTCCCTTCTTTGTGTGTCAAGACTTGAGTAGTAAACAGTGCAATCTTCTGATTGAAAATATCCAATCCTTAGTACTCCAAAAGAGCCCCAGCTCTTCCCCAGTAGCATGTTGAGTGTTATTTGACATGAGCAGCACTGCATTGTCAGTCATTTGATATTTCCTATGCATATGATTTTCTTGATAAAGTAAAATAGTGCAATAGTGGTGAATATCTGTAGCTTGGGTGTAGGATAAGGGTGAAGGTTCATTCTCCGAGCTTGTGTGTTGGTTTCCGAACGATTCGTTACCAGGCTAGGTAACATCTTTAGGGGGGTTTAGGGGATGTCAGTGTTCTTCTGTTTATAAGGGCTTCATGTGGTCAGTAGATCTTGTGATAGGTCAGGTTTGGATGTGCCAAGTGAGGGTCCTGTGATGGGGAGGTTACATCAGGTCAGGGTCATTGGGAGGTGAAGTGCTGATTGGGAGGCTTGTGTGAGTTGGTGGAGGGTCAGTGCTGTCTCTGGTTGGCTGTGCAATTGATTTGGATTTTGAGGGGTTCATAGGCTGGTTGTAGGTCAATGTGTCTGTTGATGGAATTGCTTGTGGAGAGCCAGGCTTTGATGAACTCATGAGTGTGGCGGGTGGTAGCGTGGCTGATGATTTTTGTTGCTCCAATTGAATTGGTACTGTTTGGTGTCGGTATGGCTGGAGATTAAAGATTTGGGATTGTGGTGTTTGACTGCTAGCCAGTGTTCGTGGATCCTGATTTTTAATTGACATGATGTTTGTCCCATATAGAATTGATTTCAATTGTTACAGTTGATTTTGTAGATTACATTGTTTCTTTCATCCTTCTGTATCTTGTCTTTGGTTCTGGGTAATTCCTGGCGGAGTGTGGCTGTGGGTTTGTGGTCTATTGCTATTCCTAGAGGTTGGAGAATTCTGGCTATCATTTACGACACCGCTTTTGTGTATGGTAGGGTTAGTTTTTGCGTGGTGGTTGGCTTTGTGGGTATGTTGTGGTTTGTGTGCTGTGTGTCAGAATATGATAGTAGTTTACTTTTACCCACACACTGCCTTTGCAATGATCTTTGGCCTCCAGCATCTTTCTATATTGGTGCTGTCCAATATAGGTACCTGCTTGCTGTACCTGAGTTTCTTGGATAACCCTGAGTGACCCTGCTGAGATTCTGTATTTTTATTATACACTTGCAGGTTGCGTCGGTCATCCTTCCCACACACACCCCCTTCACTCCACTCCACAATAAGATCACACAGCAGGACCATGATAATTTACTATGGTATTAAAACCCTTATTCAGAAAAGATTATTCCTGATGTACTTGAAATTTGACAAAATACAACACTGGCACTTTTTGAGAAGAGAAAAGCAAGAATATTATTTCCAGCCTGTTATCTCCATTCCTACTTTTTAAAGAAAATATATTTAATGACTTATGTTCAAAATCATAACAATACATCAATACTTTGAAAACTATGAGAACTCTTGTTCGAAAATGAGCTAACATTTTTATCCCACAGAGACTACATTTTGTCAGATATTTATAAATAATGTTTCCTATAATTCAGATTTGAAAATGCCGTAAATTTTCTACCAAGATCTTCTGATACAGAATGTTTTCAGAACATTAAGGTCTTTTTTAAAATCTTGTAGATAATCTTTTTTAATTTACTCTTCCCTTGGGAAAATTTTCTTGCTGAGAAAAGTTTACATAGAATTTCCTGGTTCTAATAGGCAGATCAACAAATTTTGCTCTTCTCTTCTTTATTTTTTATAACTCTACAGTTATTATTTTTCAACACAAACCTCGATCCTGTGGCATTGGAGATTGGCTCAAGGCAGGATGGGAGCTAGATTCTGATTGGGTACCAGGAGTCTGTGATGGCATCTGGCTACCTGCAACATACATGGAGACAAAAAAATAAATGACTTCTTCTTAACAATGCAAAAGAGGTAATGAAAATAATACAGGTATTCTAAAAAGTGGTACACGCAACTGTGCTATATATAGTGAAAAATGTGGTATCTATTTCAAATAGACATTTTTCTTTTATATAATCCATGGAAACATGCATAACATACTTCATCAAAAAGCGTCCTGAAATGCTTTATTTTGTACTGAGTCTGTTTTCAAACTTATTGACATAATTCAATTTATAGCTCTTGAAATATATATATTTATTTTGTACTGAGTCTGTTTGCAAACTTATTGACATAATTCAATTTATAGCTCTTGAAATATATATTTTAGGAAGGAATTTACAAAATCCAAGGCGGCTAAACAGTGGGATTCATCCTATTAGCATGCACTGGCTTACAGCCAGAAAAACATGGACAGCTGCCAATCTTAGAACCAAAGATAAATTCTATCTATGCTCTTTGAAAAAAAAATCCACTGAATCAATGGATTTAATGTTGGTGCCAAGATATAACACAGTAATAAACATACATATCTAAAGCCTGTGGTGTGGACTTTGTTATCCAAATAAGAGCTTAGTTCATAATTTACATCTGGTAAAAAAAACAAAACTAGCATGCAAATTGGAATAGGATGGAATCCAAGTCAGTGTTTAACTAAAGGGAACATGACTTCATAAATAGCAACAAAAGCAGATTTACATCTTGACCTAAATATCTGCATAGCTGTGGACAAAGTGCAGACAGAAAGCTTGGTTCAGCATCGCTGTATCTATGAGGCGATTTGGGTTTGCCTTTTTTACTCCTCTTTTGTTTCCCCCTCTTACAATAGCCGCCTAGGAAGGGATGGAGAATCCAGATCAGGGTTTTGTTTTTATATTTTTGCTGTACTGTTTTCCTACTGAAAATCACTCCTGAACTGTTTTGCTCTTCTGGGTTGGTTCCTACCACCCTATTGGACCCTATTGCTGGAATGAAGCCTGCATTTACCTATAACAGACATGTCAAACTCGCGACGTCACATGACGTCGCGCAACATATCAGGATGGTTTTGCCATTGCCGGCAATGGGGTGGGTGTGGCTTCCGCATGACGCATCCAGCCCACGGGCTGGCAGTTTGACACCCCTGACTTATAAGCTCCTTGCTTGACTTTCAAATCTGTTCTGGAAAACTGGGACACCTCTGAAAGCAGATTTAGGGGTCATGTGGAGGGGGGGGGTTGGAAAGAAAAATCTTGCCAATTAGAAGACTGCCCTATTATTGATGCTTCCTAGAGCAGCAAAGATTTATTTAACACAATAAGGAAAACAGCTCAACCAACTACACTGTCCCCCCAGTTGTGCTCAGAATATGACTTGTTACATAATTATTAACAAAGTGAGCCATAAAATCCGGGCAAGAGAAGTGACTGCTTTAATAAGACATTCCAAAGCAGCTCTTCCAAACTGTACTGTACTATTCCATTGTGCATATTGTTAAATGAGTCTTTGAATTGATGTGCAGGTTTAAAAAATGCAAATGCCCTTTGTTTGGAGTGGCTGATAATAATCAGAATCAAAGCAGGCATGAAGAGGAAATTTAATCATATCCACCACTGCTAGAGTCCTAAAGAAAATCCCTCTTGTGAAGGTCCTATTTCTATTGAAAGGATTTCACTTGCCAGTCGTCCCAACCACATCTACATCAGGGTTCGCATCAAAGGAAAAAAATATTTATTTATTTTTGATTTTATATGGTATATCTCACTTTATACAGCAAGATGATTTACAGCAACTAAAATGCAAATGATAGACATAAAAATAAAAACAATACAATTACAATCAAAGTAAAATAAAAACTAGTATCATTAAAATCAAAATAAATTCAAAATAAATGCTTGGTGAAAAAAAGGGGGTCCTTATTTCCCTAAATTGTGAGAGGGAGAAATCCCTTTCCTATAGGGAGCAGGAGATTTTTAAAATATCCTTTCCTAATTATCTAAATTATCTGGGCCACACTGAGAGAAGAGGAATTGTCTTGGGCCACACATAAATATATATAATATAGTTAATATACATATATAACAAGCTTCCTTTATTTTTTCATATTTCTTATTATTTTGTGGGGCTAGTTGCAAAAATTTTTGCAAAGTTTTCTGCAAGCTAATTTTTCCCTTTCAGTAAATCTGGTTGATATGACTCTGAGAATTTGTTTTCCAGGTTGTGAAGAGCAACTAAGGGCTTAACAGTAGGGCATCTATATTAATGATACAACACATCTAAATGATTCAATAAACAGGCATTGTAATCTGGACAGTTCATGTTAAGAAGCAACTTACAACAAGCAACTCGCAAATTTATTGTGTCACAAACTGATTATCAATTCACAATGGAATGTATTCCTTTAAAAATGAAAGTATTGATTGGAAAACTGAGGCTCTTAGGAATGTAACAAATATTTCAATATAACACCTCCTAAACAGGTTTGTGCAGGCTTATTTTAACACGAGAATATATTCCTCTGAAGACTAAAAGCCTGCTGGTTCTAAAAAATGCTGAAAAAGACTTGAATCTAAATACTGTACCACTAGCAGTATAACATTTTGTTCTTAACATTCTGAATTCTATATTTCCTCTTGAACTTTTTTTAGTGTTTCTTATGAGAGCTGGATTCCTGACTATTAGAAGCCAAATGACACAAGGGCATGGAATATAATTTCACTTATTTGAGGCTAAGAAATTTCTGTATTTACTGAGCGTTTTCCTGTATAAAGGTAATTCTTATTTAGCGACAATTTGAACTAGCAACTCAGTCATTAAATGAAGCAGTCACTAAGTGAAACCATGGCTGGGCTTATGATCTTACTTCAGCTTTCTTTTGCTTTCACAACAACTGTGAAGGTTGTAAATACAAAGATTGATTGTAAAGTTATTTTTTTATTAGTGTCGTAACTGTGAATGGTAGCTAAATTAGGCAGTCATTAAACAAGGACCATCTGTATTATATATATTTGTTCAATTCAGTTAAATGTTTTAGAAAATCTTTCTGGGATGCTAGGTATGAACAAACTAATTAACATGTCATTCCACATGTCTGTATATAGTCTAAATGGCTATTAAAATAAAACTGTAGTAGCATGGGAAAATACTCTCAGTTATCTCATCACAGGTCACATTAGTTAGACAAATATAAATATGGTAAAAATACAATTTAATGGACCTTTGTAAAGTGGATTTCAGATACAATGAAAACATTTTTGATTTATCTGTTAAATGATATTTACATCATTTATCTAAGTACCCCAGTGCTATAAATTGATGCAAATGATAATTTGAATTTAATAGATACTCCCTCAGCCTGAGTGCTCCATTAAATCAAAATATGAACGTCTTTGGAAACTAATGTCAAACTCTTGGCACCCTACAACTGAAAATAATATTCTCCCTGGCTTTCTTTAACAAGAATAGACTCAAGTTACAGAAATCTCAGCAACTGGATAATTTTCACTTTCACAACCTGATATATCCCTAGCTGCTTAAAACAGATTTTTCCAATTTTTTCCTAAGGGCCTCTATATGAACTGATAGGAGGCGATTTTCTTAACTATTAAGAGTACGATGTTCAACGGACCAGGGACGTGAACCCTATCAGGCTGTGAAACTATCATTACACCATCTTGAACAACATGGTTCAAATGGCAGATAAAGCTCATCACTCAAAGCATTTCCAAAGGCAATCAAAAGTAATACCATAAAGTCAATTGCAATATTTTCCTATCCTCCCCACCGCCCATAAGCAAAGAAATGTTTCTTTCTGCAAATCTCATGTGAACTTTGTCCTGGCCCAGAACATGGTAATCAGATGTTCTCAGTTGATATTGTGAGATCAGGGCCAAGGATAAATAGTTGCAAAGGGCCTTTTTATCTTTCCATACATTGCACGTTGCCACATTTACAAAAAAATCAACCAATTGCTTACACAACTGAATTTCAAGGAAAGCTGTTAGAATGATATAGAAAGAGAGATCTATAACTGTAAAATTGCTGAAAAGTATTATTGGCAATTATTGGCAGTTTGGACAGAAAAGATTCAATCCAAAGCCTTAGTAAACAAGACGTGTCAAGAATTCTAATGAATTATATAGCCCGACACTATGAAGTAGTTTTGAATATATTATAGATGAATGGGATAAGTCACTTGTTGGTCTTTAAGGTATCAATCAATCAATCAGATTTACAAAGCTACCTCTTTGGAACCTACCACAGTTTTACTGAAAATAGGCATGGCAAAATAATTCAATTACTTTTTAAAAATTGTATACAATATACACAAGCTAGAACGTATAAAGGTACTTCAGATTTATGTTGGAAATGCGGAAAACATGAAAGGTCATTGTTTTTATATACGACAACTGCTGCGTGATTATTATATGCACAAAAATGGAAAGATTCTGAAATACCCACAATGGAGAAATGGCTGGTAAAGAAGTCAGCAGAGATGGCAAAACTGACTTGTTTTATTAGAGAAAGGCCAATAACTACGTTTATTAGTGACTCAAAATCCTTCATGGGCTATCCTGCTGTAACAAGAAAAAATGAACGGGATTTATAGGTTTGTTTATTAGAAATGGTAGGTTTTGGAAAGAATCTTGTTTTGTACTAAATAGGTCTCATTCCTGAGTAAGACCGCCATTTATGCAACTGCAACCAAGTAGATCTTTTCTTACACTGTTACATTAATCAATTATCACCCTCTAGGATTTTCTGCTTCCTATAGGATACTTTGGTACAGATATTGTAATATTACAAGAAGTTGTAATAATACCTCTATATTCTGGCAAGCTCTTGAGGTGAGGCAGAGATCATAACCAGACAGTAAGTACTGTTATAAAATCTTTAATGCCCACTAATTTTTCTCCAAAGCTCACTTAAGAATAAGCAAGATTCATCAAAACAAAACACTAACTTTATTTTTCGATGAGATGAAGCAAGATGTTTTA